GAAATTAGATTGTATAAAACACATGTTTATTTTTTTTAATTTTAGAAACAATCTTATTTTACATATCAGTCCCCCCATTCCCTTGCCCTCCCATACACCTCACCGACCCCCCCCAACCCACTCCTCAAGGATAGTGAACCTTCCACAGGGGATCATCAAAGCCTGTCACATCATTTGGGGGAGGACCTAGGCCCTCTTTCGTGTATCTGGGCTGCAATAGTATCCCTCCATAAGGAATGGGCTCCCAAAGTCCATTTGTGCTCTAGGAATAAACACTGGCTCCACTATTAGAGGTCCCATAGACTGCCCAGGCCTCCTAGCTGGCACCCACATTCAGAGGGATTCTGGGAGTATGACTCAGTTCCTTGCTGTGGGTGCCTACTTGAAACACACACTTATAATTTTTACACAAATATTATATTTGGTTAACGAGTTTATCCTGTGGCAATCAAGAAATTTTGGTTATAGTTTAGGATTTAGATAGAATTCTAGAATGTATAGGAAAGAATATAATGTTGAACTCTAGCATTTCAAAAAAAACCTGGTTGGCAGTAATTTCTTTTGTTGTTGAGAATTCTTTTATCATCTAATGTGATTTTTATACTGGAATAAAGTTCTTCTGACTTGCAGGATGGCTTTACTAAGGTCACTTGTCATTGCTGTATCATTCAAAGAATTCCTGATATTCTTGCTAACTTGGGGTTGGGGTGAAGATCAGAGGGAGGTGACTTGTGGCATTAAGGAAATCAAATGGTTCACAGAATCTTGTCTTACTCAGACCGCCTAATGACACAGCTATGGTGCAAGCCTTCTGATTCTTCAAGGTACTTTGCTGAGAATACACATCTCTCAGAAGAGAGTGCCTCAGAGACCAAGACAAGATGTTGTACTTAGAAGATGTCTTTTCCATTGCTGTGAAAAGACACCATGACTGAATGTCTTAGTTAGGGTTTCTATTGCTGTGAAGAGACAGAGACACCACGACCACAGCAACTTTTTTCTTTTCTTTCTTTTTTTTTTTTTTTGGTTTTACGAAACAGGGTTTCTCTGTATTGTTTTGGAGGCTGTCGGTCCAGCCCGGCCTCGAACTCACAGAGATCCTCTGCCTCCCGAGTGCTGGGATTAGAGGCGTGCACCACCAACGCCCGGCCACAGCAACTCTTATAAAGAAAAATATTTAATTGAATGACTTACGGTTTCAGAGGTTTGGTCCTTTATCGTCAGTGCAGGACATGGTGACATGCAGGCAGACATGGTGCTGCAGGAGGAGCCGAGCTTAGAGTGGAAAAAAACTACATCTGATCCACAGGTGACAGGAAGTGGCATTGAGCATGGCTTGAGCGTATATGAGACCTTAAAGCCTGCCTCCACAGTGACACACTTCCTCCAACAAGGCCACGCCTCCTAATGCGCCACTCCCTATGAGTTCATGGAGGCCAATTACATTTAAACCAGCACAGCAATACAATTTATAAAGATAGCATTTAATCTGGGGCTCACCGTCCCAGAGGGTGAGTCCTTGACCATCATGGCAGGGAGCCTGGCAGCAGACAGGCGTGGGGCTGGAGCAGAAGCTGAGAGCTCACGTCCCAATCCACACATGTGAGGCAGAAAGCGAGTGTGAGTGCATGCCCACTCCAGAGCCCATTCCCAGTGACACACCTCCAGCAAGGCCACGCCTCCTAGTCCTTCCAAACTGTTCTGTCAACTCTACCAAGTACTCAAACCTGAGCCTATGGGGACCTTTTTCATCAGTCCAACCCAGAAGACAGTTGATTTGGAGCTGTGGGTTTATGAAATCTTCTGTCTGTTTTAGACGCTGACTGGAAAGGAGATTGAAATTGACATTGAACCCACAGACAAGGTGATGTATGCTCAGCATGTGTTGCCTCCTTTCTTTGTCTTTGTGTGCCTGTGACCTTGGACCTTCTGTTTTCATGCTGTCTGTGCGGCCTGTGTTCTTACTGCTTCTGTGAGTCTGAGCAGCCTCTGACCTCCTGTTCCTCTAAAGGTGGAGCGAATCAAGGAGCGTGTGGAAGAGAAAGAGGGCATCCCCCCACAGCAGCAGCGGCTCATCTACAGTGGCAAGCAAATGTGAGTTTGGGTGGAAAGTGGGGTGTGGCAGTCTTTCCCAGAGGAGGGGCCAAGGCTGGAGGTGCACAGCCACTCCCTCAGTGTGCCTGCCCTCCACTCCAGACGGTTTGCTGAAGCATGTGGAATCGCTCAGATTCAGTAGTACGTGTGCTTTATTAATGTATTTTTAATTTGTTTTAGTTATGTGTATATTGATAGGTGTGCGCATGTTAGAGCAGGGGCCTAGAACTATCAGAGCTGTAGTCACACGATTGTGAGCCTCCTGAAGAGGGTACGAGGGTACGGGAATCTGAACGCAGGTCTTCTACAAGAACTGTTTGAACTTCTAACTGCTGAGCCATCTTTCCAGCCCTCTTTATTAATATCTTATTGTAAAGTCTAATAATGGGTCTGATAGCTGCTTTTTTTAAAAAAAATTTCGGCTGGGTGGTGGCAGGTGGATCTCTGTGAGTTTGAGGCCAGCCTAGTCTACAAGAGTTAATTCCAGGACAGCCTCCAAAGCCACAGAGAAATCCTGCCCTGAAAAAACAAAAAAAAATTTCAAGATACCTACTGTGTAGGTTGCCATATTGTTAACACCATAGATCTCTTTGTCTGTGTTCAAAATTAAGTACTAATTATAGTTAGGAGTTAATAAAAATAAAGGAGTATTTTCCTCATCCAGTTTCACTGGCCTCACAAAGAGATCCACAAACCCCAGATTACAAATGTCTGTTCTAGATGGTATTTCTAATGCTTTTTCTTTCTATAGGAATGATGAGAAGACAGCAGCTGATTACAAGATTCTAGGTGGCTCGGTCCTCCACCTGGTGTTGGCTCTTAGAGGAGGAGGTGGTCTTGGGCAATGATGAACCTCGGTTCCGTTTCACCTCCTTGCCCTGTCACTCATAATGAAGCGTCACGTGTCCTCTCACTCTCTGGGACACCAGAGTTACTGCCCCCTCCCTTGGATGCCCAGTCTTGTGTGTCTACTGGTGGGAGAATGTGAGGACCCCAGGGTGCGGTGTTCCTGACCCAAATGTCCATTACTGGCTATTGGGTTTTCATTTGCAGTCCTGTGTGCTTCCCTCTCTTACGGCTATGTCCTTGGTTGTCAATAAAAATATTTCCTGGCCTTCTGGAATCTTCTTGCCACATATGACAAAAATAAAAATGGCACAGTGGTAACCAGCAGAAGTAGGACAGTGGAAGGGAGTGTGCTGCTCTTAGGGTGTTTTGAGAAAGGGGGTGGTACCCCCTTTCTAACTGTACCCCCAGCTGGACTGGAACTTGTCTTTAAACTCACATGGATCCACCTGTCTGCCTTCAGACTGTTAAGGTTGAAGGCATGTGCCATCAGTCTGGCATACTTATTTTGAAACAGGTTTTTGGTAGGTATCCCAGGCTGTCCTTGAACTCTTGATTTTTTTGAGACAGAGTCTCTATATAGTTCTGACTGTCCTGGAGCTTGCTCAGTAGACCAGGTTGGCCTAAGCACAGAGATCCACCTGCCTCTGCCCCTCAAGTGCTGGAATTAAAGACAAGGGCCCCACACCCAGTTGACCCTGACCTTTTGGTCCTCTTGCCCTAGCCTCCCAAGCAAGTGGGATTCCAGGCATGCCCCATCAACTGGCTCAGTGTAGCCATTCAGTTGAAAAACGTTTTACCCCATTACCCAAAATGACCTGGATAGGGGTGTTACCAGCTCTGAACCCATAGGGTGTACTCTTCAAGTTTTTTTTTAAGATTTATTTAATACATATTCAGTGTTCTGCCTGCATATCAGAAGAGGGCAACAGATCTCATTACAGATGGTTGTGAGCACCATGTGGTTTCTGGAAATTGAACTCAGGACCTCAGGAAGAGCAATCAGTGCTCTTCAAGTTCTAAATGCCAATTGAACCTGCTTTTGCATTCCACCTGAGAAACGATCTCAGTGTTTGGTCCTTGTCCCTCAGAAGGATCGTTACACTAGGAAAGCCCCCATCCCCGTATTGTTTTGCGGTCAGCTCTTACTAGCTCATAAGTGCCAAGTGTTGTCACTTTTCCTGGCTTCTTGTTAAGTGACTCTCTTGGTAACTTGCAATAAACCATGGTAGCTTGGGGTGGTGGTTGAGGCTTGTAATTCCAGCACCTGGGAGGCAGAGGCAGGCAGAGCTCTCTTTGAGTTCAAGGCCAGCCAGGGCTAAGGAGAGAAACCCTGCCAAGATTAAAAAAAAAAAAAAAAGAAGCCATGATGGAACATTTACATATTGCACATACCTGTGTTACATGTATGCCTTCCTACTGAAATGGACATGTGTTTCAATAATACAAAGTGTTACATGAAAAGCTGGTATCGTGACATATACCTATAATCTCAATACTTGGAAAATAGACACAGGAGTTCAGGGCCAGCCGTGAGGTCCTGTCTCAACAGCAAAAAAAACTATCATATAAAACCATGTTTTATTTTTTAGAAGCTTATTAGAGACAAAACCCAAGGCTTCATTTTCTTCACAGGATTGAAGGGAATAGCAGCATACTGTTGATGAGGATGGTAGAAACCCAGGAAGAAATGCTCTCCCTGTGCAGCCCTGCTGGGCCTTCAAGCTGTCCTGGAGAAAGGCTCAGGTTTACTGACGCCCCTACCCCTTTTGTGAGAGTAGATTTTCACTGTGCGCGCTGATCTCAATTCCTAAGTACAAGTAACTCCCTCCCTCTAGCAGAGGTGAAGGCACACATCACGGGGTGCAGATGCCACATGCTCTCTGCTTCCACCGTTGCTGAAGGTGTTTTATGCCGTCCAGATGCTGATGTGGAGACACGATGAGCGCAGTTCCAGGATAAAGGTGCAAAAAGGAAAGCTTCATTGGCTTCTCTACTGAGAAGTGAGGTCGGTCACCCTCTGCCGGGAATCTCCCCGCAGAGCCTCCGAAGGCGCTCTTGAGCCGTCGAGCGGCGACGCTCTAGTCACCCGACGTCGCCGGTTCTTGGTGGCTCGCCCACCACCGGCTTGGCCACCAGAGTTGGGGTACTCTCGGCGCCGAGTTTGGGTTTGCGGGTGGATTATGGCGCCGCTGCCAAAGCTTGCGGTTTTTGATCTGGGTGAGGAACCGCAGGGAGAGTTTCGTACGGTGCTTCCCTTTTCCACTCCCGGCAGTGGCTAAGTGTCCGCGCTCCTCCGGGTTGAACCGTCTCGCTCCTTCCTCTCGCAGATTACACGCTCTGGCCTTTCTGGGTTGATACACACGTAGACCCCCCGTTCCACAAGAGCAGGTGAGACAGTGGGGAGGTACGGGGCCGGGAGGGACTTGGCGGGAGCTGAGCCTTGCGTCACTGTCTCCAGCGATGGAACTGTACGGGATAGGCGGGGCCAGAACATCAGGCTGTACCCCGAGGTGCCGGAAGTCCTGGAACGATTGCGGAGCCTTGGAGTGCCGGTGGCCGCTGCTTCACGGTAAGAAAAGTGACAGACAGACCTGCTGACGGAGCTCCACGCATCAGGAAATTGCACCAAAAGTTAGGAGGTGCAAATGTGCAAATATTTTCGTTGCTTCCCTATCCTATGCTTTCCGTTCTTTTAACTGATTAAATGTTGGCTCAGCGCCAACTATTCCATACTCTCTGGTATTTAACCCTGAGCAAATCGGCCCCTCTACCCCTTTATACCTAACTTTGCCCACGTCTCTGGCACCTTCCTAAGGTCACTCTGCACTTTTTTTTTTTTCAGGACAGGTGAGATAGAAGGAGCCAACCAACTACTGGAGCTCTTTGACCTTGTCAAATATTTTGGTCATCGGGAAATCTATCCAGGCAGCAAAGTCGCACACTTTGAGAGGTAGGCAGACAGCTGAGCGTGGGAGCAGAAGAGTCCCAGAGGGGAGGTCAGGTGAGCCACCTTGCCCTGTCTTCCACAGGCTGCACCACAAGACTGGAGTTCCTTTCTCTCAGATGGTCTTCTTTGATGATGAGGAGCGGAATATCATAGACGTGGGCAAACTTGGTACTGAGTCACCACGGGGAGAGGGTTCTTAGGAGGGTGTAGCAAAGCAAGGCGTACGGTGGAGGAGGTGTGGCCGATGGCGGAGCAGCGAGGACGCCTGCTCAAGTGTGACTTTTTGTTCCAGGGGTTAGCTGCATTCACGTCCAGAACGGAATGAACCTACAAACACTAACGCAAGGGTTAGAGACATTTGCAAAGGCCCAGGCTGGACGCTGAGGTCCAACCCCATGGATAAGCCTCGTCTGAGCTGTGAAACGGAGACGAGATCAAGAAAGCCTTGTCAGGTGCATTTGTAATTTATTAAAGTGTCCGTACGTGACAGTCACGGTTTTACACAGGACGTGTTGTTTCCATTTTTCTAACGTGTAAACTGGGTTTGGCGGCCCTGGAGTGTGAAAGCTTAGCCTGCATCGGGTGGTTCCCTCTTGTTGGGGCCCATCCCGAGTCCCCTTCCAAAGTCTTCCGCTGCTGCACGTCATGGGTGCCACAACGCCGCGCACGACCTTGTAGGGAATACAAGCCAATAAATACTATTTGGGAACAAAGTTGGGACTGGCCTTTTTGGGCAGCAGAGAGTAATGTGGCTGCTTTAAGAGTGAGCCAACCCGAGCGCTCGTCCACGTCCCGCCGTGGTCTTGGTGCGCCTGTTGATGATGTCACGGCTATGCCCCGGACGGATTGGCCAAGGTGGTTGATGATGCTCGCGGAGGAAAGCGGGAAGAGTGAAGTGGCAATGAATGGGCTCGGCCGGCCCTCGGGAGGGGTGAGCCGGGAGGCCCTGGGCCGCCCGGAGATGTTGCCTGCGGGGAGTAGGAATTCTGAAGCGCCGGGTGGGAAGAGGACCAAGAGGCAGGCCGCCCGGAAAACCCGGTCCTTGGCCAAGCTCGGCATTCTTTGGTGCCAGAAGGCCAACCTTGTCCCACCGCCCTGTCCCAGCCAGCCTTGAACAGACTTAGTGGGGCCGTGTGAGCGGAAATAGCTCCCCGGGCACAGGCTTGGAGGAACTGGTTTCCTGGTGACAGCATCCAGTCTCTTCTAAAGCATTGTAGCTCACTTGGTACGAATACAAGAGGTCTGAAGTGAGGAAGAAAGCCGATCTTTATGCTCCTATCTGGGGGTGTGGGTGTGTCTAGAGAAAGTCACAGGCTGTATAGTGTGGCAACTCGGTGACGGAGAGGAGCCTGATGACCAAGACAGCACAGAAGTGGGCGCTGGACACGGTGTTCAGAGAGGCTAACGTTGGCCAGGGAAGGAGCCTTCAAGAAACAGAAGCAGGAGTACGATAGTTTAGCGAAAACAGGACTTCTGGCGGCTCTGAGTTTGTGGCATGTGAGGGAGTAAAAAGGAGCATTGATGGAGGGATAAGCAGATCACCCAGAACCTGGGATATGCCAGAAGGATCTTTAAATTTTTATCCTGTTGACAACGAAGGGGGTTTTAAGCAGGCAGAGGCCACTAGGCTTTTATTTGCAAAGGTTATCACTGGAATTAAAGATGAGGAAGAAATTGAAGTCATTCTCTCCCTTGCACCCCCTCAGTCCTTTGTGCTTCTTTAGTGAGGGCATGTAGAGCAGGACCTTGGACATCAATGGTCATAAAACGTGACCTGAAGTGAGGCTTAGTCTAATTACTCCTTGTTTCTCTGTGGCATTGGAGGCTCTCCTGGTCTTGAACTCACAGAGATCCGCCTGCCTCTGCCTCCCAAGTGCTGGGATTAAAGGCGTGCGCCACCAACGCCCGGCCGTCTCTGCTTGTTTTCTTACTTGTCAAGTGATACTGATACATTGATTGCAGAGACTCATTTAAAGATGAGCGTTTGTGGTAATACATACTGTGTATTCACTGATGGTGGCTAATACTTTCCCTTCACACGATATGGGTCTGCTCCATGGGCTCTTTTTTTTTTTTTTTTTTTTTTTTTTCTCGAGACAGGGTTTCTCTGTATTGTCTTGGAGGCTGTCCTGGAACTCCCTTGGTAGACCAGGCTGGCCTTGAACTCACAGAGATCCGCCTGCCTCTGCCTCCCAAGTGCTGGGATAAAAGGCGTGCGCCACCAACGCCCGGCGCTCCATGGGCTCTTGAGGGAAGAGAGAAGTCTAACTGTTGACAAGAAATTCTGATGAAATAGGAGTTCCTGAGCAGAAGATTCAACAGGAGTCTACAAACAGCCAAAAAAAAAAGGGGGGAGGACCAAGAATAAGCAAAGTAATGGAGTGAAAGGGCCGCTAGGGAGTATCCAGGAGGAAGCAGGTGCTTCTGACTCTGATGCTCAGGGTGTGGGAAGAAAAGGTTAGAACAGACGCTGGCACAAACTGATGGATGTTATCCACCGTGGAGGTTCAGCCAGAGGCCATTGGGAATGCCACTGCCAATACAGAAGTACTTTGGACCACGGATCTCACTGCCCAAGGCATGAGGAAAGCCTGCCAAGACGTGGGTATGGGGGGAAAGTAAGGGGAGCAGGCACTGGGGAAGGTGGCAGTGTGTGTGAGAGAGGATGTCTGCCCAGCCCATGAGAGCAGAGGAGGGCATCGGATCCCCTGGGGCTGGGGTGACAGGTGGCTCTGAGTTGTCAGATGTGGGTGTTGGGAACCACTGGGTCCTTTGCAAGACTTTTCTTTTTGATTTTGGTGTGTGTGTGTGTGTGTGTGAGAGAGAGAGAGAGAGAGAGAGAGAGAGAGAGAGAGAGAGAGAGAGAGAGATTATTTGTCTAGAACTTCCTATGTAGGTGAGTTCAACTTCAAACTGACAGATCTGCCTGCTTCTCTATCTTCTAAGGGGTTTTGTTTGAGTGTAATTGTGTATGTCTGTGTGTGTTTATGCAGTATGTGTGGGGGTGAGCTGCCTCATGTAGATGCTGGGAACCAAACTTGTGTCCTCTTAACTGAGCCTTCTCTCCAGCCTGGACTTTGGATGGCTAGAGCCCCTCATGCTTTGGATGGATAGACTACCTCCTTGCTTTCTTCATGGATGTATGCTTAGACTACCTCCTTGCTTTCTTCATGGATGTATGCTTAGACTACCTCCTTGCTTTCCTCATGAAAGGTCCTTTTGCTGGCCAGGGTACCCTAGGTGAGAAAATCCATTCATTTTTAAAGCCTTGGGGAAGGAAGTGTAAGAGCCAGTGTGAGGCCGTTATGACAGAACAGCTTCACTGTGTGAGGTGAGAGAGCCTGTGGTGGTTAGGGGCTTGGTGATGGCACTGGAGGGAGGGTGCCACCTGGCTCCTTGACAGTGTATCCTGTTCTTAGTGACGTTGACAAGGTAGGAGAACTGCTGGCTGACATCGCAGAACAACAGAAACTGGTCCCGCAGGTATCAGATGCCCTTCCTCGCCCCGTGAGTTTCGGAGATGGTGTGGATGAGGGATGGGAGCAAGGGGTTGGAGAGTATTGGAAAAAGCACTGGACTGCTCAGAAGGACCAGAAGAGGCTCTGGAACAACTTGGGGAGGGAACTTCAAAAGTGATCTCTTGGGGACTGATTGTTTTCTTTGTCTTGACCAGTCTTGTCATCCTGTGTCCAGGATGAATTGCTGCAAGATCTAGAAGAGTTGGAGCAAGAGGAACTACCTAGGAGCTGTTAAATGTAGGCAACAAGGAGGAAAACCCCCAGCCAGATTGTCTAGCATACTTTATGCACGTCTGCCTACAGGGCCGGGTACCCAGAGCTCTTTGTTAAAGACGAGAGAGGGTGAAAGATAGGAGGTAAGGCTCTTGTCTTAGCATTGCTCTCTGTATCATCTGCCTAGTCACAAAGCATCCAGGCGGAAGAGCTGCTGCTTCTGTGATACAGTTGCTGGCTGCTGACTGAAGGGGAGTGGGGTGGAAACCCAGAGTCCAGCGTGTACCCTGCTCAGCAAACCGTGCATCTTCACGACGGGATGCACAAGCAGGTGACAGGCCTGGCCGCTTGTCTTTCCCAGTGGTGCTGGGGTGCTGTGGGATGGAGCACCATCAAGCAGAAAGAGCATATCTTTAGTTTTTGGTTTGGTTTTGTTTTCTGGAGAGACAATTCAACAGGCTGTGGGTGTCAGAGCAGGAGCTGGCTGGAGGTTCCAAGGCTTTAATCCGTCTCTTTTCTGGGTATCCTCCTTCCAGAAAGGATGAAGATAAAGAAGCACTAAAGTGCTTGGTGGGCTGGGAGTCCCGAGAGTCTGGGTTGTCTTCCTGCTGCTGTCCTTAAGGGCGAAATACGGAGGGCTACAGGAGCATCGATCTGGGGTTTCCTGCTGCAGGGGCAGTGACCGTCTGAGAAGGGCCCGTTGTTCTCGCCTCTTTGGCTGAACTTTGAAGAAGTATCTTGCTGCAGAAGGAGCCTATAGGCTCCCTTCTCTTTGGTATCAGAAGACTGCTTTTTGTCCCCAGTAAAACTGTGTAGTGGATCCCTACTGTCTGTATGTCTTGTCTATGCCTGAGATCCTTCCTTCTGGTTCTCAGAGCCTTGTTTTAAGTAGTGGAAAACAAATGGCCATTTCCAATAACTCGGACTGTGCTGTGGACAGTTTTACCTTCCCATTTGATTTGTCATGGAGTTGCCTAGTGTCTAAGATTAGGAAATTGCCATTAAAGTCGGGTGGTGGCGGTGCACACTTTTAATTCCAGCACTCCAGGCAGAGGCAGGCGGATCTCTGTGAGTTCAAGGCCAGCCTGGTCTACAGAGTGAGTTCCAGAACAGCCTCCAAAACAATACAGAGAAACCCTGTCTTGAAAAAAAAAAGAAAGAAAGAAAGAAAGAAAAGTGGGAAGAGGGGGAAATTATGTAATTATACTAGAAACATGTTGATAGCCTGTAATCCCAGTACTCTGGACACTAAAGCATGAGGATCATGAGTTTGAGGCTAGTCTGAGCTACAGAGGGAGTTCTAGGATCCTGAAAGGGGGTAAGAAGAAGAGAGAAAATCACATGAGGAGCCAACCTAAGTCTTTCTCATTGCTTTGGCTCAGTCATGCCTCCAACAAGATAGTCTCATTTTTCTTCTGCAGGAGCAAGTAGCTTTCCTTTATCCAGAACTCACAGTTCACAAGGCTTGTCTTAAACTCTATTACTTCAGTATCTGGGAGCCCTGGGTCCCTGGCATTCTTTCAGTAGGGGTTAAAGTTATACTAGAGGGAAAGTACACCAAGACACTAAGTAAGCCCTAATGTTTTTGTGTCATGTCAGCAGGCAGGGTGAGCATCTAGAAACAGGCCTGTCCCATTCCTCCGTCTACTTCTCTTTCCAATTAAAACGTTTATGCAAGTTGGGAGCAAACACAAAACAGAAAGATCAGTGCTATTCCTTTGAACTGTAAATGGGCAGAGCCAGAGTCAAACAGAACAACCAAGGCTTTTCCCTCCTTGTCCCATCTGCTACTAGGACATTAGAGAACAAAAATGTGTAATAAGAGCCACAACTCAGTTGGCAAAGTAAAGCTTCCCCAAGTCAATTCCCTTAACTTGCACAAACATATGTCAAGAGTACAGGTTCCAGGCTTCTGGCAGAAATCCACCCTCAGTATGTTCTCCATCAAGTCTCTCTTGAGGAAAGAATGTCTTTGACCCTAAATGATGAAACTAATTAGATTTATTTTTATATAAAATATTTTCCCCCAGGCCCTCCTGCTTTCCTCCTTAGCCCCCCACCTCAGCCATTTTCAAGCTGTGACTTCCAAGGATTTGTGACGCTCAGTGGTGCTGGAGGGCTGACACATGGCCTCGAGTAGCCTGATTTCATTCGTGGGTTGCTCAGACTGGAACTTGAGCATCCAGGGGTCCTTGAGGACATCCAGGATGGTGGCACGCTTGGCAGCTTGGCGTAGCATCTGGAAGATCAGGTTCTAGGGCAGGGGAGAGAGAGGGCTTGGCTGAGCGTGCCCCCCTTTGGGCAACACAGGCAGTGAGCAGCGGACCTAAGAAAGAAACAGGATAGCCCATCACACTACTCTGGTGAAAGGGTCTGGGGCCCTGGTTTTATGCTGGAGCCCTGCAAGAAAAGAGAAGCCATCTTTGCACGATCCCTTCTGCCCTAAAGGGATCAATGCTGGGACCTAATTATCAAGCATATTTAAGGGTTGAGGCTCTGTGATTGACCCTCTTAAGTCCTCCCCACCATTTTGGGTAGGAACTAGAGATGGCTCTAGCTTGAGAAAAGCCCCCGGGTGGGAGTCAGTCGGAAGGCCTACATTTGGTATTGACTTCCCCTCCCCACAGGTCTTCCCTAAGGCCTCAGCCCTCCTGGGGGAGCCAGCACCTTGCACTCCTGGGAGATGCTGAGGTTAGCTGGGAACACGACCTCCTTCTGGGTCTCTCTCAGCAGCTTCTTGAGATTGGTGTCATCGAAGGGCAGATGTGCAACCACTAGAGTGTAGAGGATGACGCCCATGCTCCAGGTGTCAGACAGGAAAGGGTTGTAGGGCAAGCCCAGCAAGATCTCCGGGCAGGCATAAGCAAAGCTGCCACAGTAGGTCTGGCTGAGGTGGGAGAGGCAGCTCATTTGGCGGTAAGAAGAGCTACTATGCACAGGCTGGCTAGAAGGCACCATCACCATCTTGGCGAAGCCAAAGTCCGATATCTTCACATTCTCCCGCTTGTCCAGCAACAGGTTCTCCAACTTTAAGTCCCTACCAGCAGCAGAAAGGCTGGGGGTCAGGCTGAGGAGAGGGCTTAGTGTTAGACCGGGAGCTGAAAGGAGAGCGGCCAGAGACTAGAGCTGAGGACAGGAGAGGTGGGAGAGAGACGTCTGAGAAGTACAGCGGGGCCCGCAGTGGCGGCACACGCCTTTAATCCCAGCACTGGGGAGGCAGAGGCAGGAGGATCTCTGAGTTTATAGTCTATAGAGCGAGTTCCAGGACAGCCAGGGCTACATAGAGAAACCCCATCTCAAAAACAAAACAAAACAAACAAACAAACCCAGATGCAAAGCCATGGAATGGGGTTGTGAACAGAGCCCAAAGGAAGAAATGTTGGTACCTGAGGACCACTAGTTCACCACTGTGTGGAAGGTGCTCTCACACAGTGGACACAGTGCCCTTGACTAGATGATGATTACAATATGGTGGACAAATGGACCTAGATATTGAGAGATGTCAAGAGAAAAGGGCAGAACATGGGCAGTGTGCATAAAACCCCTGTGAGATCCCAAAGCCCAGTCTGGTGACTGTCCTCACCGGTGCACAATGCCCTTGCTGTGCAGGTAGGCGATGCCCAAGGCCATCTGGGAGAACCACTTGCCAGCAAGGGTCTCAGAGCAGGCTCCATATCGTTGGATCCATTCAAGGACATCACCGCCCTGGGCCAACTCCAAAATGATGTATACTCGGGATGTGGTCTCAATGGCCTGATAAAAGTTGATGAGGTACTTGTGCCGTAAGACTTTCATTACCTGATCCCAAAAGAGGAAACCATCAAACCTGAGGGAGCCATCAAACCTGGCCAACTCTGACTGTGCTGGCCTTTCTCTACTCTCCCATTGCTACTTACAAAGTTGCAACAGAATCGGCTGGTGTCTGGGTAAATTCCATTTTGCATTTAACTTGGCAGGGGATTGATAGTGGCTGGGTATTTATACATAGGAAAGAGGATGGATATCTATCTATATATATCAGGATTTTCCTACTTAAGACATTCAGTCTGGCTTGGAGGTTTCTGGATCCACCCCTTTCTATAGTTATACCCCTAAGGTACCTCAAGTAGCTTATTAATAAGCCTCAGTTCCCTCTTTCAGCTCCCTTTCTGACCTGTATCTCACGCGGTAGGAACTTGTTAAGATAGTCATCAGAGGCCTTCTTCTTTGAGATGATCTTGACAGCCACCATGACCTTCTGCTTTGTGTAGTAAGCCTCATATACAGTTCCATAGGAGCCATGACCAATGACCTTGCCCACCTCATAACCATACTCCTCCATGACAGAGCGATAGGCTGGGGTAACTGATCCTGTTTCCAAGGTGTCTCCCTTCCCCATGGTGTCGGGCTTGCGTAGTGGGGAGCTTTGCTACTTAGAAGCCTGTCACTGAGAAGCCACCTTGAGCCACTGAAGGGAGGGTACTGAAGTGAAGTTAGTCTCCTAATGTTTACCTAGTCACACAAGTCTGGGATCCTGGGCTTGGCCCTTCACTAAGAACTTGGAAGGGGAAAGAAAGGAACATTCTTTTTGTCTTGATAGCTGTTGTTACTTCCATGTCTTAGTTACAGAACTTCCAAGGTCCCAAGTTCCATACCCCTTTTCCATCATTGGCCACAAAGCTTGAAATAAGGTGCAGTTTAGAATATATTCAGTAGAAAAGGCACTTTATACAATTCGGTGAGCATCCCCTGTGGTCCTTTAGTTTGCTTGTACCACGTGTTAGACAGTATGCAGAATACACTAGGTCCAGCGTGAGAAACTATAAGGCATTGAAGCGTATTCTAAGAACTCAGTCTTGGGCTGCATTCTTGCTTTACACAATGGGCAATATTCTTGCTTTCTAGCACCGTCATTTCCCACCTGTCAGCATTGCTGTCTTCACTGCTGACTGACCCGGGCCTCTGTATGCTAGGCCAGCACTCTGCCGTCCACACACATTCTCCCAACCCTCCATCTGCTTTTCCCTTAGTCATGTCCCCCAGATTCTGTCACAAGCTGATTTCCTCGGCCTTCGAGTCCTCCCTTATGGGTCTCACACACCCCAGGCTTCAGTTATCACGTTGATGCTACGGCTCCTTGTCAGTCCCATCCCAGACACTTATTAGAGTTCAAGATGGTGCATATTTGCTCACTATTATCACAGGGACACGTCTTCTTTCTGCACCTCATATCCAAAACGATTTCCTTCTCTCAGACTTCCATGCTGTCCTGAATGTAGACATTAAAATGCCATGGCAGCACCATCTGCCTTGGTGCCTACATCCTGTCTCTTCAGCCTAAATTTCTCATTCCTAGCTGGGTGGCAGTGGTGCACTGCTTTAATCCCAGCACTCGGGAGGCAGACGCAGACGGATCGCTGTGAGTTCCAAACCAGCCTGGTCTACAAGAGCTACCAGGACAGTCTCCAAAGCCACAGAGAAACCCTGGCTGTCCTGGAACTCACGTTGTAGACCAGGCTGGCCTAGAACTCCCAGAGATCCGCCTGCTTCTGCCTCCTGAGTGCTGGTTTTAAAGGCATGCACCACCACACTGGCAATTTCTTTACTTCAGCCCTATGATAATTCTGCCTCTCCAATTTTACCCCTTTTTGTTCTTTTAATATGGGTCCTAGGGTTTCAGCATGTATCCTAGGTTAGCCTCAAAACTGAAAGCCTCCTACTTCTCAAATTTTGAGTTGCAGCTATGTGCTTTAAAAAAAAAACACACACACATATTTTAAGTTGATTCTTTAGGAATTTCATATCATGGACCCCATTCCCATTCATTTCCTAGTCTTTCCATATCTGCCCTTCACCTTGTAACCTCCTCCCCCCAAAACATTTTTAACAGAGTCCCACCGACCCCTCCGGGCTGCTCCTCTAACCACCGCAGCCCTTCTCTGTCACAGCTGTCGCGTCTGGTTCTGCTGTGAAGCGCTCTGCTCCCGCCTTCTCGCCTCTCCATCGTCATAGTGGCTTTGGAAGCTGCGCTATGTCTCACAGTATACCCTTCTGTCCAAACATCTTTAGTTACAGATGTTCACTGCAATAAGTCGTCGGTCTGGTTCAAGACCTCTGGATTCTGCTACACCATCAATACTGGACCCTCACCAAGACTCCTGTCAGATACCCTGCTGTTGCCCAGAGTCAGGGAGGTCCTGCAGCCATGGTTCTGCAGGACCAGTCCCTACACCAGTTCCAGAAGCTCACAGAGGGAATAGATACAGGGTGGGCCAAGTCAAAGTCTGGGGTGGTAACTCAGTTCATCAGCCCACTAGCTCTCCTGTACCCACACCACCGGTGCCAGCTCTCCCAGGGAAGGGGGGGCAGCTCATCAAAGCTCTGGGATGTCACCAAGGCTTCAGACAGCAGCCCAGACCACGGTTATCCAGATAGCCTTACGTGGTAACACAGGCCTGGTTATATCAACATCAACACGGTCCCAAGCTGCAGCAGGGCCACGGACTGGGACATGGCTCTGGGCGGCAGCAGAGGCCCGGACATTAGCACAGCCTTGGGCAGTAGTACAGGCCTCTCACATCAGCCTGTCTCTCGCTGCCTCTGGCCTCCAGTTCTGCCGTTCATAGTGCCCAAGCTGCTCTGCCTCTTTCTCTCCCATCTCTCCACCCAGCACCCTCATGGTGGCTCACAACGGTCTGTAACCTCAGTTCCACGGGACCCATATTCTCTTTTGTTGTTTGGTTTGGTTTGTGGATTTTGGTTTCTTGACTGTTTGTTTTCAGAAAGGGTATCACTATGTATCCCAGGCTGGTCTTAAACTCTGAGTTTCAGTTTCTACCTCAGTGGGTAAAGTGCCAGGGGTTCAATCTACAGCCTCTCAAATGCCAGGCAAATAATGAAACTATGAGCTATATAGATTTTTTTCTTTCCTTATCTTGACAGTTTCACTAAGTTGACCAGGCAGGTACCAAACTTGCAATGAGAGAGCTGTCTTGGCCTTCAGAGCAGTAAGGGTTCCAGGCCAGTTTGGCACAGCCACACAATGCTCCAGCCAAAGGGAACGCTTCTCCCTTTTCTCCTCCCTCTGCTCTCCTCCCCTCTTCCTCTCTCCCCTTTATTACCTCTCTCTTTCCCCTCCCTCTCTTTTCCTCCTCCTCTCTCTCGAGACAGGGTTTCTCTGTGTAACCCTAGCTGTCTCAGAACTCACTCTGTAGACCAGGCTGACCTGGAACTCACTGAGATCTGCCTGCCTCTGCCTCCCGAGTGCTGGAATTAAGGGCATTTGCCACCACCCGGCTCTTTTTTTTTTTTTTAAGATTTATTTACTTATTATGAATACAACATCCTGCATCCATGTATGTCTGCACTCCAGAAGAGGGCACCAGATCTCATTGTGGATGGTTGTGAGCCACCATGTGGTTGCTGGGAATTGAACTCATGACCTCTGGAAGAGCAGTCAGTGCTCTTAACCTCTGAGCCATCTCTCCAGCCCCCCACCCGGCTCTTTTTTCCCCCAAAATTCTTGCTTTTCTTTCAGAACTTAGGATCTTCTGATTTGAATGTCTCCCTTTGGTCTTGGCTGGACTCAGTCTCTTCGTTCTACTGTTTTAGCCTCCCAAGTACTGGGGTTATATGCACAACCGATACAACTGGCTAACGGAGATGGCAGATGTTTAAGATGGAGCTAGAGAAATCCACAGTCAGTAGAGTGCTTACTGCATAAGCATCAAGTCCTGGATTCCAGACTCCTAGCACCCATGTAAGAAGCAGGGTGTGCACTTGTGACTTCGAGAAACCAAACAACAGTGAGCTCCAAGTTCCAGTGAGACAGCACAGTTGACCTCTGGCCTCCATATACTTGTACACACACCCATACATATCCAATGTTTGAGAACAAGGGATTATAGAGAATGACTAGGAGGTGGTTTGGACAATGAGCAAATTCACAGGATAGGACTTAGAGACAGTTTTGAAAACACTATTTATAGAAACATTCATCATTGAGATTCTTTTAGCATATTGAACACTGATTTAATTCAAAGTTATAATTTTGTTTGGCAGCTGCAATGAAACCATCAAGAATCAAGAACTCAGGGCTGGAGAGATGGCTCAGAGGTTAAGAGCATTGGCTGCTCTTCCAGACGTCATGAGTTCAGTTATCAGCAACCACAAGGTGACTAACAACCATCTATAATGAGATATGGTGCCCTCTTCTGGCCTGCAGGGAAACATGCAGGCAGAACACTGTATACATAATAAATAAAATTTTTAAATCTTAAAAAAAAAATCAAGAACTCAGGGCTGGAGAGATGGTTCAGCAGTTAAGAGCACTGGCTGCTCTTCTAGAGGTCCTGGGTTCAATTCCCAGCAACCACATGGCAGCTCACAACTGTAACTCCAGTGCCAGATCAGACACCTTGACACCAATGCGCATAAAATAAATTTAAGTAAATTATTTTTAAAAAGAACTCATTCCAGGAAGTGGTGGTGCACACCTTTAGACCCAGCACTCGGGAGACAGAGGCAGGCAGATCTCTGGGTTTGAGGCCAGCCTGGTCTACAGAGCAAGTTCCAGGACAGCCAGGGCTACACAGAAACTCTACCTTGAAAAAACAAAAAACAAAAAACAAAGGTGTGGCTGAAGTGATGGAATGTGATCTCTACAGAGAAGGAGGCTAGAAACAACCAGAGACCGGGAGCTGGCTGCAAGTCTCAGGAGACAGGAAGTCTAAGGTAATGACAGAGAAGGGCAGTGTCTTAGGGTTTCTACTGCAGTGACAAAACATCATAGCCATAAGGAACTTGGGAGGAAAGGTTTTATTTCACTTTACAGCTTGTAACTCATAATCCAGAGAACTCAAGGGAGGAACGAACTAGGAGAAACTGCTAGTTTGGAGGCCATGGAGGAAGGCTGCTTACTGCTTCCTCCCTATGGTTTGTTCAGTCTGCTTTCTTCTTGCACCCAGGACCATCAACCCAGCACCCAGTGCCAACAGTGAGAGGGCCCTTCTACAGCAATCGAGAAAAAGCACCATGGCTTGCCCTCAGGCCAATGGGGGGGCAGTTTCTCAACTGAGTTTCCTTCTTCCCTAAGGACTCTAGAGTCAAGTTTACATAAAACTGCCAGCACAGGCAGGAGTGTTCAGAGTTCTCATAAGATTTTGTGGGTCAGACTTGGGTGTGACTAGCGCATGCCTACAATCTGAGCACTCAGGAGGCAAAGGCAAGAGGACTGCAATGTTTTCTTCGTGTGTTGTGTTTCTGCCACGTATGTGAGGGTTCACATGCATGTGGAGGTCAGAGAAGGAAGGTGGGTGACTTCTACCTTTGTATTTTTTTTTTTTGTTGCTGTGATAAAATACCATGACCAAGGCAGCTTACAGAAAAAATTTATTTGCACTTATAGTTAGCTCCAGAAGGTCATGTCTTGAACTGCAAGCAGGAACCCAAGCAGCCTCTCAAAGCCAGCCCCCAGTACCATTCTCCAACACTGCCACACTTCCCAAACTTCCCCAAACAATGCCACCAACTGGGACCCAAAAATCTGGATGCCTGAGTCAATGTGGGGCATGTCATTCATTGGGTGTTTTTTGTTTTGAGACAGGGTCTCTCATTAAATCTCAACCTCTTCCAAAATGATTACACCATAGGTCTATCAAGTCCTATCTACTGAGAGTGACCCTACTAGCACTCAAGTTCCAAATGCTACTGGGATTCAGCTTTTCAACCAGTAAGATAAAGAATTACCCAGAGGGGGCTGGAGAGATGGCTCAGAGGTTAAGAGCACTGACTGCTCTTCCAGGGGTCCTGAGTTCAATTCCCAGCAACCACATGGTGGCTCACAACCATCTACAATTCAATCTGGTGTCCTCTTCTGGCATGTAGGCAGAACACTGTATATGTAATAAAATAAATAAATCTTTTTAAAAAAAAAGAATTACCCAGAGTACACCATACTAAGGAGATGTACCCACTGGGGCTCGTCACTGCTAGTTATGGGAGATTTACACTCTGTGGAAATGTATTGCTGTGATTGGTGTAATACAAAGCTAGGAAGAGGTTACGCAGGACTTCTGAGGACAGACAGGACTTTGGGAAGGCAGAGTCACCAGACAGACTCCAGGAAGTAGCATGGGCGGCATAGGGACGAGGTAACGAGCGATGCAACAGAACTCAGATTAAAATAAATGAGTTAATTTAAGTTGCAAGAGCTAGTTAGGAACAAGTCTAAGCTATAGACTGAACTTTCATAAGAACAAGTTGTTATTTGGGATCTGGCTGACTGGACAGGAAAAGACTCATTATAGCTGCTCATCACTTGGCCTGGGAACAACCCCATTTCTCATGATGAATATAAGGCAAACCAATTTGTTCAATGAACCAGGCTTTCTCTTTTAGGCCACCAATCAGTTCCC